AGACCTACCCACGCGGAGTATAGACACAGTGTGGCCACGGGAGCACCAGGCGCTCGCAAAATCTACTCAGCCCAAGCCCTTCCGCTGGGAGGGCGCAGGAAGGCTGCATAGTCAGCGGCCGATGTTCATAGCCAGCGGGGGCACGGAAGACAAGAGCGGCATCACCCAGTGACCAATACTCACTGTGTGGCCCGGAACGGCACGGGCTGACAACCACTTGCCATTCACCGCGATGGTCTTGGTAAATCGAGCGCCCTGGGGTGTCGACCCGGTGCAGGGTCGCAGCCAGGACCTCCGTGGCACGACGACCACCAAGAGTGATACGTACGTTAAGGTTGCTCTGAGACAGAATCGGCGGTGGACAAACCCCTCCCTTCAGTACACCTCCCCCTAATGAACACACCTGGGACCGAAACCGACGGACCTGGACCCGCAAAAATGACGGCCGCGACGCCCTCTCGCGAACCGAAAACGGCCAATTCCTTAATCGACGTGTCAGGGTAGGATTAAGTCGGGCGTGTCCCCCTACAGGGGGACTTTGGGCGAAACATAAAAAATACTCCAAAAAAATGCCAAAATTGACAAAAGACATACTCCCAAAATGGTCCCCTGACTATTTTTGGACTATTTTTGAATATTCCCCCTGAAGAGGGACAGGCCCGACTTAAGGGTAGGAGTTCGGTTGCTCCCATCGCACTTAAGGACCACATCCCAGAAATAATTTCGAGCACCCGGAAGAGTGTCGAAAGAGCGTCGAAACAGTGTGGAAACAGTGTCGGACGAGTGTCTCCCAGGTCCCGATACGTGAAAGCCCTCGAGTTTCGGTACTTCTCTGGTGCTCGAAGTTCTTTCTGGTGATCAAGGCGAAAATAGGTTTGAACATCATAAAGGGTAGGAGGTCTGTCCACCCCCGACACAGGGAGGACCCAGGCCTCCGGCATCGTCACGACGTCCGAGGCCTGGGGGATCCGGCGGCTGCAGCTGCCGTGCGGCTGGCGCCGCCGGCTCGGGGGCCCTTCGCCGCAAGTGACGAATTCGCCAAGGACGCCAGGGCCCTACAGCACGTCCCTCCCCCTGCTCCTCCGCCCTCCTTTACAACCCCTCTATCCTCTCCCTCCTCCTCCTCCCCCTCCTCACCCTCCTCGTCCCCCTCCTTCTCCTCCTCTTCCTCCTCCTCCTCCTCCTGTGGAGGCCTCTCGAAGAAGCCTTAATTAGATGTCAGCCGAGATCCGCTCGAAAAACTCCTGCCCCCGTCCGAAAACCTTCTCTTCATGGAGGCTTGCCCGAGCAGACGGAGGTCAGACGATCCCACCGCGCGCAGATGCACTGGCGATCTAATACAGAGAAAGACCACGATGCTGATGCGTCGACGATGCGGTACGGCCCCTGACGAAAACGGGACCGAGACAAACTCGGACCGCGCGCTGATGCACTGGCGATCTACCACGGAGAAAGACCGCGCTGCTGATGCGCCGACGATTCGGTCCCAGACATGCGACGTCCTGATTTTTCAATACGGGGTCCCCGGAAGGCCCAACCCGTTCCCTGGGACCGGTGTTTCGTCCTGAGTCGTTTTCTGCTTATCCCGAAGCCCGGCGAGGGCCCCCCGAGGCCGAAATCGGCCAAAAACCTCCCGTCCTGATCATTTTACGACGCGGTCATTTCTGGGTACGGTCCTTGACGAAGCCAGGACCGACAAACTCGGACTGGGACCCATCGGGGATCTCCGAGAGCCGGCGGTTTGTGAGCAGGGCCGCGGCCGTCCTGGAGCGCCCCCGAACGCTCTGAGGGCGTTGTGGAGCGCTCTAGAGCGGCTCATCCCCGTCCTGGACCTCCCGACCGTCTGCTCTGGCGCCTTTCGGGAGGCCTGGATCATCTTCGTCCTCCTCCACCTCCCCCTCCTCCTCCTCATCCTTCTCCTCACCTCTGGGGTGGGAGAAGGGGAGAAGAGGGGGAGGTGGGGAAGGGAACAGGGCGCTGGAGCAGGGGAGGGGGAAAGACCATGATCTTGTTTCTCGCATTCTCTGGGCATGGTCGAGTGAGCTGAAGACATCCCTTCTCCTGCCCCGGCTGCTGCTGATCCTCCTCTTCCTCCGCCTCCTCCTCCTGAACGCGGCTGGCCCAGGTTTCCTCCCGGAGCGCCATGACCCCGCCATCCGTCCCGTATTCCCTTCTTTTTTTATAATCCGGGGGGGTGCGACCCCCCCCCGAAACGGGACCCCCTGGATCCGTGGTAGGGGGGGAGGCCGGAAATCCTTGCCAAGGCGTGCACGCAGGCGCGTGGCAGTCCCAAATCGATCGGCCAAAGGCCCAAGAGCCACCCAAGACGGTCCAGGATGGCACCACCCAGCTAACCTTGACCCCCGCCGGATGCCCGAAGATCACCCCAATGTCACCCCAACGAGGCGTTCGAACCTCAAAAACATCGATGTTCCATTGGTTTTTATATGATTTTCGGATACTCGCTAATTCGGCCTTCCACGCGTCCGAGAAGCTTGGAAACACACTGACAACTGCTCCTAGACGGGCCGAATGAGTCCCATGAGCGCCCGAAGCGGCCCCCAAACTGCCCACAAGAGTCCCCATGACCGCCCAATACTGACCCCACGACGGCTAGCGCGAGGCCTTAGAGACGCCACAAACGGTCCAATATGTAATTATGCGATCCAGGCCTTGCTGGATGCTCGAAGGCGCTTCCAATGTCACCTCCAAGACGGCCAAGATAGCCTCCAAGATGCCTCCAAGACGGCCAAGAAGGCCTCCAAGACAGCGAAGATGGCCCCAAGATGCACCCAAGACGGCCCCAAATAGACTCAAGATAGCCTAAGACGGCCCTTTAGGGCCGCAAGATGCCTCCAAGACGGCCCAAGAGCCCTCCAAGACGTCCTCCAGGAGGCCCGAAAGCTCGGAAATCGCCTGGTCCGATAGCTCGCCCGACTCCGTGTTCCCCGAAGGCTCTCGAAATCCACTCGGGGAACGCGTGGCCCGATAGCTTGGCCAAGCTCAAACCCAACTTTCGGCCACGCAAGCGCTTCCAAAAATGCAGGGGGCGTCGGTGATTCGCCGTGGGCGTCTTCGATCCGCCGCCCCCTATTGATTCATCAGGGGTGCCTGGCGTGCTGAACCCTGTCGGTCTTGGTTTTGCTTCTTTTTCCAGAACGACTCCTCCTGGGGCTTCGGTCGATCTCGCCAGGGTCCCGGAAGGGTGCGCAAAGATGCACAACAGGTGTTGCAAAGAGTGTTTCGGCTCCAGACGGCTCCAAGATGGCCAAGATGGCCTACAAGTTCGCCCAAGATGGCCCAAGATGGCCTCGAAGATGGGCCAAGAGAGTCCAGGAGGCCTCCAAGTTCGCACGAGAAACACCTAAGACGGCCCAAGACGGCCCCAGAGGCCTCCAAGAGGCCTCCACGACGGCCCAAGAAGAGGCATCGAAGAGGTCCTCCAGGGTCCTCAAGGACGGCCCGAAGAGGTCAAAATCATTGATTTTATTTGGGTTTTTGAAGGATGTTGGCTTTTGCTCCTTTTCGGCCTTCCGACGGCCCAAGACTGCCAAAGAGGCCATCAAGATCGCCCCAAGAGTACCAGAAAAGCCTCCAAGACGGCTCCAGGACGGCCCAAGAGGCCCCCAAGACGGCCCCAAGAAGGCCCCAAGACGGCCCAAGAGGACCCCAAGAAGCCCCAGATGGCCTCCAAGACGGCCAAGATAGCCCCAAGATGCACCCAAGACGGCCCAAGATGGCCTCAAGACAGCCTAAGACTGCCCTTTAGGGCCGCAAGAGACCTCCAACACGGCCCAAGAGCCCTCCAAGACGTCCTCCAGGAAGGCCCGACAGGGTTTAATCATTGACTTTCCCTTGGTTGTTGAAGGATTTTGGCTTTTGCTCCTTTTCAGCTCTCCGACGGCCCAAGACGGCCAGCCCAAGAGGCCCCCAAGAGGGCCCCGAGAAGGCCCTAAGACGGCCCAAGAGGCCACCAAGACAACCAAGATAGCCTCCAATACGGCCAAGATGGCCTCCAAGATGCCTCCAAGACGACCAGAAGGCCTCCAAGGCAGCGAAGACGGCCCCAAGATGCACCCAAGACAGCCCCAAATGGCATCAAGATAGCCTAAGAAGGCCCTTTAGGGCCTCAAGTGGCCTCCAAGACGGCCCAAGAGCCCTCCAAGACGTCCTCCAGGAAGGCCCGAAAGGGCCAACATCATTGAATTGCCTTAGGTGTTTCAAGGATTGTGGCTCTTGCTCCTTTTCAGCTCTCCGACGGCCCAAGACGGCCCAACCGGCCCCCAACATCGCCCCAAGAGCGCCCAAGAGGCCTCCAAGATGGCCCCATGACAACCCAAGAGGTCCCCAAGACGGCCCCAAGAAACCCCAAGAGGGCCCCAAGAGGCCCCCAAGACGCCCAAGATAGCCTCCAAGACGGCCAAGATCGCCTCCAAGACGGCGAAGATGGCCCCAAGATGCACCCAAGACGGCCCCAGATGGCCTCAAGATGGCCTTAGACTGCCCAAAAGGCCCGCAGGCCCGCAAGAGGCTCCAAGACGGCCCAAGACGTCCTCCAGGAGGCCCGAAAGCTCAGAAACCACCTGGTCCGATAGCTCGCCCGACTCCGTGTTCCCCGAAGGCTCTCGAAATCCACTCGGGGAACGCGTGGCCGATAGCTTGGCCAAGCTCAAACCCAACTTTCGGCCACGCAGGCTCTTCCAAAAAGGCAGGGGGCGGCGGTGATTCGCCGTAGGCGTCTTCGATAGTTTTCGAATGAGGACAAGAAGGACAGGGGAGGAAGATAAGCAGCATCGACAAGGAGACAGGATGCAGAAAGGAGCAGGGAGGAGTCCGGGAGTCGTCCGGAAGGCAGGAGGAGGCAGAAGGAGAAGGGAACAAAGAGGGGAGAGACAGAAGGAGGAGGCACGAAGGGTTGGGGACAAGCAAGGAGCAAGGAGTGAGGAGGGGGCAGGCAACAGGAGCAGGAACAGCGGGAAAAAGAGGACAGCGACACGCCCTCACGACCGCACCCTGGGGAACTCGACATCCAGAAACTCCAGGAGTCTCATGCAAGCGTCGATCTGGGCCTTGCGCAGGGTCAGACCGCCCCCGCCTCCCCTCCCCTCCGCGACCTCCGTCTGTGACGGCCAGCCCGCCGCACCACCGCACATCCGAGTCGTGACCACCGCCCTGGAAACCGATGCCCCCAGGACACCAGGAGGCAGTGGGTATATGGATAGCTCGGGGGCCCGGAGACACCACACGTCCACTGCTGCCTCCCGGCGCCGTGGGACACCGCCTCCCGAGGCGGCGGCCCTGTACTTACACTCCTCCCGGCCGCCGGCGAGCGCCAGCGACCCTCACGACAGGAGGAGGAGGAGGAGGAGGAGGAGGAGGAGGAGGAGGAGGAGGAGGAGGAGGAGGAGGAGGAGGAGGAGGAGGGGAGGGGGGGGATGGGGAGGAGGAGGGGAGGAGGAGGAGGAGGAGGGAGGGGGGAGGAGGAGGAGAGGAGGGGAGGACACTGCTGGACGCTGGCCCAAGAGGCCGCAGCCACCGGCCCCCCCGGGCCCCTGGCCTTGGGCGTCGCTCCCTGGGGGGGGGGGGGCGATCGCCGAATATATATCCTCCGATCGCGTGCTAGCGCCGCCGTGTGCTTGCCCACCGATGCCCTTCGACGCGACGCAGGCGGCGCAACGAGGGCCGACGCGGGCTGCGCGCTGTCGGCGGAGCCGGACGGGGTAGACACACGCTTGGGCTGACACGCGCCCTGAAGATCGGCCCCGTTTCTCGGGCCCTGCAGGGCCCCGTTCTGGGCCCGACAGGGCCCCTGTGACGCCAGGGGGGGATAGCAGACAACTCCTGGGAGGTCTGGAGCGCTCGAGGGCCGATTCGCCAGATGGAGGGGCCGAACGCACCAGATTGAGCCTGATTCAGCGCAGGGCTCATCTATAGGAAGCGAGGTTACCTCAAAGTAAGCGCGACTGCGACGCCAGAGTAGGACGGCTTTCGGCCACGGATATACCAGCACGGATGCTGAAGTCAAGCTCCCAGGAGTTGCACCCCCCCGGAAGTTGCAACCGAAGCTTTCTTACATCCTGTTTTAAAAAGGCTCGTGAGAAGGCCCTGGGAGCCTCCCTTGAAGGCTTCTTAGAAACCAGGCGGGTTTCTAAGACGCCCCCCCGCATTCTTAGAAGCCCCACCGCCTTCTCAGACGCCCGCCCCGCTCGCGCCCCCCCCCCCCCCCATGGGCGTTACCATGATGAGGAAATCGTTCGCATGCAGCTGTCGGGGACACACTGGCCCGGGTCAGGGCAAACCCGGGCCCGTCAGGCTCTGCAGGACCACGCAAAATCCTGGCAGGATCCTGCCCGCAAGCCCGGGTCAATGCACCCCTGGCTCTGCAGGATCCTGCAACCCTGAGATCCAACGGCGCAAAAAGTTGAGACATCGTTGAAAATTGCGACTGGAGTCCTAGACCCCATTTTCGTATACAATTTTTCAAGCTGGATCGATCTGTGAGGGTCCCGTGGCCCGAAAACCTGACGAAAACGCCCAGCTCGGAAAAATTGGAATGCCAGGATCCCAAGGAAGATCCCGCGCTCTGGCTGACCCCCACTTGTATTGACCCCAGTCTCTTCAGCCCTGATGCTCTCGAGGAGGTTCAGAACACGGGGGGTAGATTTCAGTGCCTCACCAGCTTTGTCTGGGAAGCGAAAAAAAACGGCATAAACCATAAAAGTTTGGAGGGTCTGCGCAGATTTCTTGGATCGGCGCTGGACACCCCTCTCTGGCGCGCCAGCGGCGGCGCCGGAGGCGCCGCCAGGGGGAGCCCAGCGCCGACCCCCATTTGTCGGGATCCACCAAAAGGGGGGGGGGGGGACCCTGAGGGGGGGCATGAGTTCGATCCGCACCGAACTGCCGCAGAGAGATGCCCCCCGCATGCCCCACCCATCGGCAACTATCCGGAGCTGCCGGCGGCTGGGGGGCATCTGTTTTGGGCGCTTCGGTGCAAAAACCGATCGCACTCTTTTTTGTTGTTCTCTCTCTCTCTCTCTCTCTCTCTCTCTCTTTCTCACATACACACACACACACACTGGGGCAAACACCCCCTTTGCGGGATCCCGAATCAAGCCCCGCCTCCAGGCTCCCGGAGCTGGTCTGATCACGGCGCCGCTCCCCCCCCCCCTCCCGGGCGGCGGAGCGCTGAAACCGGCGGCGCGCGGCATCTCTCGTGGCCTATGTGTTTTTCCCAACCATCCTGTGGCGATGGGTCCTCGTTTTGAAGAGACGGTCCCCGGTCCCTCCTCCCTCCTTCCTCCCTCCTCCTCCTCCTCCTCCCTCCTCCTCCTCCTCCCTCCTCCCCCTCAATCCTGCGTTTCGCCTACCCAGTACAGCGCTTCGTGGCCCAATGGTGAGCTCCAAGGCCCAATGGGGACCCCTCACACGGTTCGTGACCAAATGGGGAGCTCCAAGGCCCCAGTGGCAGGGTTCGCATGGCGGCCCCGCCCCATTTTGGCGCACCCCTCACACGGTTCGTGACCCCATGGGGAGCTCCACCGAAGGCCCCAGTGGCAGGGTTCGCATGGCGGCCCCGCCCCATTTTGGCGCACCCCTCACACGGTTCGTGACCCCATGGGGAGCTCCACCGAAGGCCCCAGTGGCAGGGTTCGCATGGCGGCCCCGCCCCATTTTGGCGCACCCCTCACACGGTTCGTGACCCCATGGGGAGCTCCACCGAAGGCCCCAGTGGCAGGGTTCGCATGGCGGCCCCGCCCGATTTTGGCGCACCCCTCACACGGTTCGTGACCCCATGGGGAGCTCCACCGAAGGCCCCAGTGGCAGGGTTCGCATGGCGGCCCCGCTCCATTTTGGCGCATCCCTCACACGGTTCGTGACCCCATGGGGAGCTCCACCAAAGGCCCCAGTGGCAGGGTTCGCATGGCGGCCCCGCCCCATTTTGGCGCACCCCTCACACAGTTCGTGACCCAATGGGGAGCTCCAAGGCCCCAGTGGCAGGGTTCGCATGGCGGCCCCGCCCCATTTTGGCGCACCCCTCACACGGTTCGTGACCCCATGGGGAGCTCCACCGAAGGCCCCAGTGGCAGGGTTCGCATGGCGGCCCCGCCCCATATTGGCGCACCCCTCACACGGTTCGTTGCCCCATGGGGAGCTCCACTGAAGGCCCCAGTGGCAGGGTTCGCATGGCGGCCCCGCTCCATTTTGGCGCACCCCTCACACGGTTCGTGAACCAATGGGGAGCACCACCGAAGGCTCCAGTGGCAGGGTTCGCATGGCGGCCCCGCCCCAGTCTGGCGCACCCCTCACACGGTTCGTGAACCCATGGGGAGCACCACCGAATGCCCCAGTGGCAAGGTTCGCATGGCGGCCCCGCTCCATTTTGGCGCACCCCTCACACGGTTCGTGACCCCATGGGGAGCTCCACCGAAGGCCCCAGTGGCAGGGTTCGCATGGCGGCCCCGCCCGATTTTGGCGTACCCCTCACACGGTTCGTGACCCCATGGGGAGCAACACCGAAGGCCCCAGTGGCAAAGTTCGCATGGCGGCCCCGCCCCAGTTTGGCGCACCCCTCACACGGTTCGTGGCCCGGCGAGGTCCTATCTGACTCTGCCTAGGACGTCACTATGCTGGACCCCCCCAGCAGGCATAAAAAATGCGATAGTTGCACACATCGCAGCCCCCCACGGATGGCGAGATCCTGCTTGAATTTGTGTAAAGCGTCACTATGCTGGACCCCCAGCAGCCCTCGAAAATGGCGACGGTTTTACACATCGCAGCCCCCCCCAAGGATGGTGAGGTCCCATTTGAATCTAAGTAGAACGTCACTGTGCTGGGCCCCCCAGCAGGCCTCGAAAGTGGCGACATGTTCACAGATCGCAGCCCCCCAGGGGCGGCGAGGTCGCGACGTCACTGTGCTGGACCCCCCAGCATCCCTCGAAAGTAGCGACAAATTCCAACATCGCAGCCCCCTGCAGGCAAGACAAGAGGAATCAGGAGGGAGGCGGGAAGGAGAGAAGGAAGGGAAGACCCAGCAGCCCTCGAAAGTGGCGACAATTCCACACAGCGCAACCCCCCTGGGATGGCGAGGTCCCATTTGAATCTGCGTAGGACGTCACTATGCTGGACCCCCCAGCAGCCCTCGAAAGTGGCGACAGTTCCACAGATCGCAGCCCCCCAGGGACGGCGAGGTCCCACGTGAATCTGCGTAGGACGTCACTGTGCTGGACTCCCCAGCAGGCCTCGAAAGTGGCAACAGTTTCACAGTTCGCAGCCCCCCAGGGACGGCGAGGTCCCATTTGAATATGCGTAGGACGCCACTGTGCTGGACCCCCGAGCAGCCCTCGAAAGTGGCGACCGTTTCACAGATCGCAGCCTCCTCCCCCCCCCGAAGCAAGACGGGCAGGAGGCAGGAGGGAGGCGGGAGAAGGACGCGCGAGCGAATACCCAACCAAGGAGGGTTCGGAAATAGTCCACAATTCGCCCCCGACTATATTTACCTAACAGCGAAGACTGATAGGTTTCTAATAGTGTAAAAAGAGAGCAGCACATTACTCCACAGGGGGGTCTGGGCAGCCGTTGGGGAGCCGTTGGGGGGCCGTTGGGGTTTGCCGGGGGGGATCGTTTTTCGCATACAGTCACACACTTCGTGCTTTTCGATTTCCCAGAACTCCATTCCCGGGCCACATTCTGAATGCCCGGAGCCAACTGTACGCCACTTCGTGCTCTTCGACTTCCCAGAACTCCATTCCCGGGCCACATTTTGGATGCCCGGAGCCAACTGTAGGCCACTTCGTGCTCTTCGACTTCCCAGAACTCCATTCCCGGGCCACATTTTGGATGCCCGGAGCCAACTGTAGGCCACTTCGTGCTCTTCGAGTTCCCAGAACTCCATTCCCGGGCCACATTTTGAATGCCCGGAGCCAACTGTAGGCCACTTCGTGTCTTCGAGTTCCCAGAACTCCATTCCTGGGCATGATTTTGAATGCCCGGAGCCAACTGTAGGCCACTTCGTGGTGTTCGAGTTCCCAGAACTCCATTCCTGGGCATGATTTTGAATGCCCGGAGCCAACTGTAGGCCATTTCGTGTTCTTCGAGTTCCCAGAACTCCATTCCCGGGCCACACTTTGAATGCTGAGGCAGGCTGATGCTGAGGCTGAGGCAGGCTGAGGCTGAAGGCAGACTGAAGCTGAGGACGAGGCTGAAGGCAGACTGAGGCTGAGGCTGAAGCAGGCTGAGGCTGAGGCTGAGGCAGGCTGAGGCTGAGGCTGAGGCAGGCTGATGCTGAGGCAGGCTGAGGCTGAGGCTGAGGCTGATGCAGGCTGAGGCTGAGGCAGGCTGAGGCTGAGGCCAAGGCTGAAGGCAGACTGAGGCTGAGGCTGAAGCAGGCTGAGGCTGAGGCTGAGGCAGGCTGAGGCTGAGGCTGAGGCAGGCTGATGCTGAGGCAGGCTGAGGCTGAGGCTGAGGCTGATGCAGGCTGAGGCTGAGGCAGGCTGAGGCTGAGGCCGAGGCTGAAGGCAGACTGAGGCTGAGGCTGAGGCAGGCTGAGGCTGAGGCTGAGGCAGGCTGAGGCTGAGGCTGAGGCAGGCTGATGCTGAGGCAGGCTGAGGCTGAGGCTGAGGCTGATGCAGGCTGAGGCTGAGGCAGGCTGAGGCTGAGGCCGAGGCTGAAGGCAGACTGAGGCTGAGGCTGAGGCAGGCTGAGGCTGAGGCTGAGGCAGGCTGAGGCTGAGGCAGGCTGAGGCTGAGGCTGAGGCAGCTGAGGCTGAGGCAGGCTGAGGCTGAGGCGAGGCTGAGGCTGAGGCTGGCAGACTGAGGCTGAGGCTGAAGCAGGCTGAGGCTGAGGCTGAGGCAGGCTGAGGCTGAGGCTGAGGCAGGCTGATGCTGAGGCAGGCTGAGGCTGAGGCTGAGGCTGATGCAGGCTGAGGCTGAGGCAGGCTGAGGCTGAGGCCGAGGCTGAAGGCAGACTGAGGCTGAGGCTGAAGCAGGCTGAGGCTGAGGCTGAGGCAGGCTGAGGCTGAGGCTGAGGCAGGCTGGCTGAGGAGGCTGAGGCTGAGGCTGAGGGCAGGCTGAGGCTGAGGCCGAGGCCGAGGCTGAAGGCAGACTGAGGCTGAGGCTGAAGCAGGCTGAGGCTGAGGCTGAGGCAGGCTGAGGCTGAGGCTGAGGCAGGCTGATGCTGAGGCAGGCTGTGGCTGAGGCTGAGGCTGATGCAGGCTGAGGCTGAGGCAGGCTGAGGCTGAGGCCGAGGCTGAAGGCAGACTGAGGCTGAGGCTGAAGCAGGCTGAGGCTGAGGCAGAGGCAGGCTGAGGCTGAGGCTGAGGCAGGCTGATGCTGAGGCAGGCTGAGGCTGAGGCTGAGGCTGATGCAGGGTGAGGCTGAGGCAGGCTGAGGCCGAGGCTGAAGGCAGACTGATGTTGAGGCTGAAGCAGGCTGAGGCGAGGCTGAGGCAGGCTGAGGCTGATGCAGGCTGAGGGTGAGGCTGAGGCAGGCTGAGGCCGAGGCTGAAGGCAGACTGATGTTGAGGCTGAAGCAGGCTGAGGGCGAGGCTGAGGCAGGCTGAGGCTGAGGCAGGCTGAGGCTGAGGCTGAGGCAGGCTGAGGCTGAGGCTGTGACTGCGACTGCTGTTGCCACTGCGACTGCCATCGCGAATGCGACCACGACTGCGAGAACAGCAGAATTCTACAACAGGATTCTTATCTGAATCTTAAGGGGAATGCTTCCAGATATGCTCCTACACATCGCTGTTAGGTTGCTTTGCCGGGATAATTTTGTATTTTTGAATATTCCCCTAAGATGGGGATGCAGGTCGTTCCCTGCGGGCTTCGAAGGGTGTGTCCCCAACTGGGGTGGTAATTTGGTGGGGGCCTCGAAGGGGATGGGAATGGAGACGGGGAATGGCAAAACGATGCCGAGGGGAGGTCGGGCCTGTCCCCCTACAGGCGGATTTTGGGCGGATGTCGGGCGATTTGTTGTCACCTTCACAAGTCAAACATACCCCGACATGTTTTGTTGAACTATTTTTGGATAGTTTCCTCCTGTAGAGGGACAGGCCCGACCCGAGTCTGGGGAGCGGAGCGGGCCGGGCCCGCTCCGTGGCGATTCCAAAGCTCCCAGGGCCCTCCCAGGGCTCTCCCAGGGCACCCCAGGCGCACGCCACGGTGAATTAGCAGCCGCCCAGGGCCCAGGGCGCCCCTGGGCGCGCCAGGGACGCTCCGTGGCGATTCCAGAGCTCCCCGGGCCCTCCCAGGGCCCTCCCACGGCGCCCCAGGCGCACGCCACGGTGAATGGGCAGCCGCGTCCCCCCGCGAGCCTCCTTCTGCCCGCGGGTCCAGTCCGAGGAGAAGCTCCGGCCGGCGAGCGGCACCGCCACCACGGCGCGGCAGCGCGGGGGCCAGTGCTTGTCCTTCTTGTCCTGCGGGCGGCCGCTCCTCCTCCTCCTCCTCCCCCTCCTCCTCCCCTCCCCCTCCTCCCCCTCTCCTCCTCCTCTCCTCCTCCTCCTCCTCCTCCTCCTCCTCCTCCTCCTCCTCCTCCTCCTCCACCTCAACCTCCTCCCCTTCAACCTCCTCCTCCTCCTCCTCCTCCTCCACCTGCTCCTCCTCCTCCTCCTCCTCCTCCTCCTCCTCCTCCTCCTCCTCAACCTCCTCCCCTCCTCCCCCTCCTCCTCCTCCTCCTCCTCCTCCTCCTCCCTCCTCCTCCTCCTCCACCTCCTTAAGGGGCCCTGGGGCACACAAATGAATAAACACACAAATCCCAGGCTTGCCCCATCGTTTCCCACATGTTCTGGGTTTCCGTCTTCCCCCCCCATTGCTTCCTCTTTTCCCACATCTTCCTGGGAATCGACGATGAATTGTGCTGTTTCCCTTCCCGATCAATGCGGGCGGCCGCTCGCCATCGCTCGGGCGCCCGCTCCCCGTGCATGCTGCGGTTTCGCGCGTGTTTTTTTGTTGACGCGAGCGCTCCACTGCTCGCAGAGCGACTGCTCGCAGATAGCCTGGATCCGCGCGGGGGGATCCACGGGCGATGGCATCGAAGCAGACGTGTGTTTTTGTTCGGACGTGTGCGAGTATCAGTATAGGCACCTTGTGCGAGCAGTGGGATGCGCTGGTGGCTCGTGTTCTCGCAAGATGGCCCAAGGAGGCTCCTTCATGGACCTCGCCCCCCGAAATATATGCACGCGTCCGAGCGGTGCCGAGCGCTACGTGCGGGCGAAGGTCCGCAGAGGTGACGGAAGCGAGACCGTCCTCCCTCCCCGGTGTAGGAGGCCAGCGGGAAGTCTTGGATCGGCGCTGGACCCACTTCTCCTCCTCCTCCTGCGCCTCCGCCTCCTCCTCCTCCTCCTCCTCCTCCCGCTCCTCCTCCTCCTCCTCCTCCTCCTCCTCCTCCTCCTCCTCCTCCTCGTTCTCCTCCTCGTTCTCCTCCTCCTCCTCCTTTTCCTCCTGCTCCTGCTCCTGCTCCCCTCCTCCTCCTCCTCCTCCTCCTCCTCCTCCTCCTCCTCCTCGTTCTCCTCCTCCTCGTTCTCCTCCTCCTCCTCCTTTTCCTGCTCCTCCTCCTCCTCCTCCTCCTCCTCCTCCTCCTACTCCTCCTCCTCCTCCTCCTCCTCCTCCTCCTCCTCCTCCTCCCCTTCCTCCTCCAGCCAGAACAAGGAAACCTGCAGAAGCATAAACTGTTCGGAAGCCTGCGCTGAACTCTTGGATTGGCGCCAGACCCCCTTCCCAGGCGCGCGGGTCGCGACAGGGGTGGCGCCGCAGGCGCCGCAGGGAGGGCTCAGCGCAGATCCAGAAAAAGCGCTCGGACCCCCGAAAACTGCACGCTGATGCAGGTTGTTCTCTTTCTTCGAGTGGCCCAGTCTACCCAGACCCCACCCCTCTGGTGTCCCTCAGGACCGACCAGTGCCAGACACTCGTGCCGGCCTCGAGCTGGCGAGCGTAGGCCTGCTGCAGCCTGTTCTGGACCCTCATCATCGTCGTCTTGCGCTCGGCGAGCTGCTTGGCCTGCTGCTGGGCCTCGCCCTCGGAGGCGCTGTCCTCATGACCACCACCGTCAGCATCACCGTCATCATAGTCATGCAAGAAAGCACGAACAGCATCGTCATCATCATCACCGTCGCGGTTAACGCCGTCATGATGATCAGAACCATCGACATCGATATTGATCATCCTCTTCCTCCTCATCATCATCAGCAGCATCACCATTATCATTATACTCACGATGGCCAGAATTATCATCTCCATCGTCATCGTCATCGTCATCCGCACCCTAATCAGCATCGACATCATCAGTAGCATCAGCATCAACCTCAGCATCATCAACATTATCAAATCATCATCTTTTTCCACGCAGCATCATAATCCTCGTCATCATCATCATTATCATACATCCCCAGGACGAAAATGTCATATTGGGCCCAGGACGACAGCAGACGCGTATGAGATAGCCGCCGTCGGATCCACTCAAATTCGAGCGGATCCAGTTTGGGCTTTGGTTTGTGATTCGGTGGATCCGATTTGTCCGCGCGGATCTGATTGCGGATGTTCTGGGTCCGCGCCCGGTCGTACTTCTCACGGCGGATCCGACTGCTACCCCGTTCTACATTGACACTACTGAATGAAACTATTAAACTTATACGAGTTAGAGTTAATTTAATGATTTCATACTACGATAAATGTCTACGAATTAAACGAATAAACTTATTGATACTCCGTTCTAAGTTTGTTCCAGTAAATTAGAACGGGGAACCAGAAGAAATCGGTACCACAGACCCCGCGACCCGCCCGTGTTCAGACGCTGCGGGGGAGGGGGGCTCGGTGATCAGCTATCCAAGATGGGCCCTGCACCGGCTCGCGCACTCCACTAGACTCTCCGCCCGCACGGGCCCCGCTCAACACAAGTGCATATCTCTCCTCCCGGTCGCTGCCAGCACCTCGTCCAGTCGCCTTCCGTTCGGCGGCGCCAGAGTTGTCTTGCGAATCCCTCGTCGCCACCCTACCCTCAGAAAAAAAAAAACATTCCGTCCTGCGCGAATGCTACTCATCATCATCATCAGCAGCATCATCATCATCACTATGATCAGCATCATCATCATCGTCATCATCAATATCCTTGTCGTCGTCGTCGCCGTCGTCGTCACCGTCATCATCATCATCATCATCATCATCAGCATCATCATCATCATCATCATCATCATAATCATCATCATCATCAGCGTCATGAACATCATCATCATCATCATCATCAGCATCATCATCATCAGCGGCAGCAGCTGCATCATCAGTATCACCATCACAAACTTTATGTTTACTGGTTCATCGTCATCGGCATCATCAGCAGCAGCAGCAGCAGCATCGACCTCGCCCTCGGAGCCGCTCTCCTTGCACCAGCTCGTCGTCGCTGGCCCGGGGATCTCCTGCGCCGCGGCGCGCGCGTGGTCGAAGTCGGGCTCGAACATGTCCTCCAGCCCGGGGGCCTGCAGGTACCACAGCACCCGCTTCGCCACGTCCACCTCGGCCGTCTCCTCTCGCAAGGCTCCGGGCGAGGAGGAGGAGGAGGAGGAGGAGGAGGAGGAGGAGGATAAGGAGGTGCACGGGGACGAAGCGCACCGCCCCCCCGAGGGGCAGCTCCAGCCCGCCTCGGCAGGCCCCCCGAGCGGCGGGCGCCCCTGGGCGCGCTCTCCGCGCCTCGGGGGGGCCTGTCGAGGACGGCCGGCGTGCGCAGGGCCCGGCGTCTTGCGGCCGCGTCCTCGTCGGGGCACCACTGCCCGGAGAACGTGTGCCACACGCCCAGCACCTTTGAAGGGGCCCTGGGACACACAAATAAATACACACAAATAAAAATAAGCCCCATATTTTCCGATATTTTCTGGGCTGTTGTCTTCCCCCCCCACGTCCCATGGTTTCCCATATTTTCTGGGGCATCGACGATTAATTGTGTCTGTGTGTTTCTTTCCCTCCTGAACCTTGATCTCCACGAATGCCCGGCACCCGCGGGCGTCGTCGAGCTGGCAGCTCCAGACCGGCGGCGGGCTGCCCTGCTTGAAGCAGTGGGTCCTTGAAGGGGCCCCAGGACACACAATTAAATACACACAAATAAAAATGTTTCCCATATTTTCCCATATTTTTTTGGTTTTTGTCTTCCCCCCCACTCCCCATATTTTCCCACATTTTCTGGGGAATCGACGATTAATTGTGTCTGTGGGTTTCTTTCCCTCCTGAGTCCTGAGCAGGGACACCTCGCTCTGCAGGCCATCCTCGCTCTGCTGGTCGAGCTCCAGGTCAGTGCAGTCCGCCCAGCAGATCGACCCTGCCCGCGGAGGAGTCGCCCAGTCCACCTCTGCAGGAACAAACTGAAGGGAAACTGGGACGCACAAATAAATAGACACAACTAACCAGATTCCCCATATTTTCCCATGTGTTCTGGGGTTTCTGTCTTCCCCCCCACTTCCCACATTCTCCTATATTTTCTGGGAAATCGACGATGAATTGTGTCTCTGTGTGTTTTTTCCCCTCCTGACGAACAAACGCAGTCAGAAAGTGTCGGAGGTCCACGGAGACGCATCGGATCGGCGGTGGACCACCGCGGCATGGAGCGCGGAGGGCGCCAGGGGCGGCGCCAGAGGAGCCACCAGGGGGGTCCAGCGCCGATCCAAGAAATCAGCGCGGACCTTCGAAGGCGTTCGGGGGGTGCGCCGAGGGGGCGGTGAGAGGGGGCGGACTTTCTCAGAGGGCGGCAGGGCTTCTCAGAGGCCCCCTGGCCTTCAGAGAGGCCGGTTCTGACTTCGGAGAAGGCTTAGAAAGCTTCTCAGAAGGCCAGTGGCCTTGTGAGCCTTCTTGAGGGGCAACGGTAGGGGGGGATAGGCATAGGGGCGGAAACATCGACCTGGAATCGAGGACACATCGCTGATAGATCGGCGATAGGCCTCCGACAATGAATCCGCACGCCCCTGGGCAGGTTGGGGCCATCGGGCCACTGTCGGCGATCAATGGGCGATTGGGGGTCGATGCATCCTCCCCCATGGCCCCTCCCCCCTATCGTTGCCCCTGACTTCTGAGCAGGTCCCCCCCCTCTGCCGTCCCCCCTGGGCGCGCCGCCGAAGCCTGTCTTCGTGCCGCCTTTTCTTCTTCGATCCGCCGCCTTCGGCGTCGGGCTGTCGGTCGTCCTCCCAGTGGGACAGAAACCAGAGAGGCACCGATACCGCTGCTCCCCAAAACTCTCCCGGGGCGCGGTCGGACCAGGATCTCGAGGCGAATCCAGCCGTGGCGACGAGGGCGCCCAAAAAGGCAAATATTGGAGGCGAGCTCGGGGGGGAGGGAGACGGAGCGGGCCTTCTCAGAAGGCTCGGAAGTCCCCCAGCCTTCTGGGAAGTTTTCTGAGCCTTCCCGGCTGACACCGAAAACCCCTCAGAAGGCGCGAGGGCTTTTGAGAAGTCCCGCCGCCTTCCGAGACGGCCTCCTCCTTCTCACTTCCCCCCCCTCGCTCGCCGCCGAAACAAAACTGGGGAAGGGCCGCGGTACACCTTCTCCTCCTCTGACTACCTACCAAACCACCACCCCAGCCCAACCCGAAGACCCGAACTTCGCCCGAATTTCTGGTTGGGGAGGGGGCGGTACGGGCTTCATGCGTGTTTTTGTCGATGTTCCCCGACCCCCCCTAGTTCACTGGAAATGGAGGGCCAATCGGGGCCTTCCGGTTGGGCTGGGGTGGCTTGGTGGGTGGTGATCCTCGGAGTCCTCGGGGTCGAGGTGCCCGAGGACGAGCCCTTCTCGCCCTGCCGCGGCAGGAACACGGGCCCCTCACGCCCCGGCTTCGCGTACATCCCCAGCGCCCGCTCCGCGGCGTCGCGCTGTGCCCGCTCACCGGGCGCTGCTGCGGGCGCCCCTGGCCCAGGGCGCCCCTGCCTTGTCGCGAAATGTTGGAGCCCCTGGGCCGGGGGGGAAGGAGAGGGGGGGACAGCAAAGGGTACGCGTAGCTGATTTTCCCAGCGCCTCCTGGCGCCGGGAGGCGCCCATGTATCGAGGAATGGGCCCAGCGGCGGGGCCGAAACCAGTTGCATGCGGCAGATTTCGTACCCCCCCCTTTCCCTATCCCCCCCTTTCGTTCGGCCCGACTGGGGCCCTCTGGGCCTCGTGGGTGGTGCTCCTCGCCATCGCTCGGACGCCCATTCCCCGGGCACGTCTCGGCTCCGCGCGCGCACTGCCTCGCCAGCTGGCCCAGCATGCTCCTCGGCGGTCCTCGCCGAGGAAAAAAACCACGCGCCCGAGCGAGGCCGAGGCGCTGGAGGCCGTGGTTGGCTCCTCCTCCTCCTCCTCCTCCTCGTCCTACTCCTCCTCCTCCTCCTCCTCCTCCTCCTCCTCCTCCTCCTCCTCCTCCTCCTCCTCCTCCTCCTCCTCCTCCTCCCCTGTGCCGATGGGGCGCTCCCAGCCGCCCCCAGGCTTCTTGGAGGGCATCCACACGCCGGCGACGTGGTGCGGCACGGCGGCCAGCATGAACGCCACCTGTGGGGGACCGAGGACGCGCCCGGGGCCGGGGCAGGGCGCGGGACACACGCGGGCATGCTGCACATCTATGTTGTCCCCACCCTACAGTCGGGGCCTTGACCTAAGGAACCCTAAATAAGGAACGAGGCCCCTTTTTGCTCCGCAAGTTAAACTTCGATTCCCCATGGAAAACCTAAGGAAAACCTGAGGCAAGCTGCGAAACACTTAAGGAACGCGGAGCCCCTCCCCAACCAAAAGGGTTCCTTCTTCAGGGCCCCAACTGTACATGTATGTTGCCCCCACCCTACTTGAGGGCCACGTCCCAGAAATTACTTCGAGCACCCGAAAAAAGTGTCAAAAGGGTGCCGAAGCAGTGTCGAAGCAGTGTCGGGCGAGTGCCTCCCAGGGCCCGACACGTGCAAACCCCTTGAGCTTCGGTAGTTTTTTGGGGCGCTCGAGCTTCTTTCTGGTGGTCCAGGCTAAAACAGTTAGGTGGGAGCATCCTAACTGCACGTGCGTGCCGCTGCTGGAAGCGCACGCCCGGCCCGAGCAGAGAAGCACGAGAGCTCGCCGGGCATCGCCTCCCGAGCGGTGTGGCCAGAGGGCGCCTGCCGCGGAGCTCTCTCGCGGAGCGCGCGCGTCGCCCTTGGCGTACAGCGCGCGCGTGCCGGGGCCATCATGCGCGCGCACCTTGCGCGCCCGAGTCCTGCCTGCCAGGAGGCCAGGCGTACGGCGCGTCAGAGGGGCCGCGTCTGGACGGTCGGATCCTTGGCCTGTCTGACTGCCATGGGGCCAGGCCATGACGCCTGATCTGGATGCCCGCCGTGAGGCCAGGCCATGAGGCCACGGGGCCGTGTCCGGATGGTCGGATCCGTGGCCTGGAAGCGCACGCCTTGGTGTCCGAAGTCGCACTGGGGATCGGTACCCGCGGCAGTCCTGGGCAGTCCTTGGCCAAGCTTGCAGCTCTCTTCTGGAAGGTGCCGGCCGAGCCACGCGCTCGCAGCACACGGGAGCTCCAGACACGAGAAGAGCACAAGTCAGGAGTCCCAGCGATGCTTGACAGATTTGGCCCTGGGCGTCACTGTACTGCTAGAGATGTCCATGGGGCAGTCTGATGGCGTCCTGGGACCGTCGTTGGGTACTGATGTGCATGCTGTGTGTTGTGTGTCGTGTGTCGTGTGTCGTGTGTCGTGTGTCGTGTTTCGTGCATCGTATGTGTGTGTTGTGTTTCGTGTGGTTGTGTGTTGTGTTGTGTGTTGTATGTGTGTACGTGCGTGCGTGCGTGTGTGTGTGTGCGTGTGTGTGTGTGTGTGAGCAGTCCGGAAGCCATCTGGGACGTCCGCAATTTCTACCACGGGTCCCGCAGCTTCTAGGAAGGCATCCGGGAAGGCTCCATGGGGACGCCCTGGGAGGCTCTGGGAGGGGAGGGGGCCCCTCAGTGTACCCTGCGTGCCCCATGATGGCCTTCGGCCCCGCGGCCCCCGGGGCCGAGTTTCCGGTCTATGACAGATGTTCGGCTGGCGCCGAAGTTGCCGACCAGCCATAACTGGGGGAGCTGTGGTCCTTACCCCCCTGGGGTAACCCATCGCATCGACGATCTCTCGAGAGGGGTGTCGAAATCGATGGGTCCCCCAGGGGGGTAAGGACCACAGCTCCGCAAGTTGTGGCCGGCCTGCGAAGAGTTTCTAGGATCTCTGAGATCTGGCAGCTCTGGGAAATTCCTCGGGCCCCGCGGCCGTTCCAGAGCGCTCCAAGACGCTCTGGGAGCGCTCTGAAACGCCGCCCCAGCCCCGCCCGGCCACCGTCGCGCGGAACTCCAGGCAGCTGCCCGCCATCCGCGTGGTGAACTCCCACTGCAGGACGGAGCAGTTGGCGGGCATCCGGAAGAGCTTGCCCTCCTCATGAGCGAGCGAAGAGCAGTGCGCAAACGAATGCAATGCTTCCGCCATCGGCGCCGCCTGCCCCCCGGGCGGCTGGAAAATTCATACGCCCGCGGTGGCACGTCAGGGTATGCACTTGCCAGCCGCCCTGGGACAGGCGTCCCCGACGGCGGGCAGGCTTCCTACGTGCCGTGCTTCGTCCGCGAGCTCCTCCTGCACAAACTCCTGCAGCGCCGAGATGGGCCCGCGGTTGCTGGCCTCGGAGGCGCACATGCTGTAGAACTTCGAGTACGTGTGCGAGAGCGACCCGCACGGTAGAGCGTTGTTCGGGCGCGGTTGCCGTACCACGCCCGCGGATATTCGGTGAGTGCTTTCCTTGGCTTAAACTTTCTTTGGCCTGAAATGGCTGCCAGGAAAGCCGAGCCAAAGGATGGTGAGGAGGGAGGAGAGACAAAGGGGGGAGGTCATTCTGTCTGTCGTGCGTGCAAGACTCATATCCATATCCAGTGCCTCTTGGACTTTTTCGGAAGCGGCGCCACAAGGCCGAGGCGCACTGGATATGGATAAATATCGAGCCTCTAGTGGGCAAATTTATCCATATCCAGTGCGCCTCGGGTTTCTTGGGAAGGGAGCCCGAAACTCCATACTGCAGTGGATATAGACAGAAGTATTGCCCGCATGTCGATGCTGCATCTTTGTCGCGACGTCGGATCTCAGGAAAAGGTGCGGTGACAGACAGCGCGGCAACCTCGGAACCCCCAACGACCTCACCACACGATCGGTCACCGCACAGGCCGGGCACCCTGGAGGCCCCGGCTGCCCGAGACGCCCTCGGAGAAGGACCCCAGGCCCGAAGCCGTGCGCGGCCAGCCCCGAATCGAGACAGAATCAGCCCAAAGCGCTCCAGAGCACTCTGAGAGCGCTCCTGAGCCCGTTCCGAAACGACCGCGGCGCCCTATACATCCTGCAGGCCCGCCGATTCTCAAAGGCTTCCGCCCTGTATCGGTCCGATGCTGTCTCGCTTCTGCCTTCCCTGAGATCCGACGTCTCGAACAACGTGAAACATCGTGAGAGATCACGACCAGAGCCCCAGACCCCATCGTTCTGGGTCATTGTTCGAGCCGGATCGATATGTGAGGGTCCGGGGGCCCGAAACTGGGCGGAAAAACGACTGGCTCGAAACAAATGAGCCGCCGGGATCTCAGGGTTCGACTTACGATTAGAACGGGCGTGTCCTGCTACAGGGGGATTTCGGAAGACACGCGAAACAGAGTCACACACCATCGAAATGAGACACATAAGCACGAACAGTCGCCACCATGTGTTCTACTAGTTTTGAATATTCCGCCTGTGGAGGGACATGCCCGACTTACTCTCAGGGTTCGTCTTACGACAGGGGGGGCCCGAACCCTGAGGAGAGCTTGGAGTCCCGAAACGGTGCGGTGACAGACCATGCGGTGACCTCGAAATCCCCCAAGACCTCACCGCACGGCCCGCCAGCGCACGCTTGTGGGACCTCGGAGGCTCCAGCCGCCCGAGACGTCCTCGGAGAGCGACCCGAGCCCCAAAACCGTGCGGTGACCCCGAATTCAGGAGGGGAAAAAACACACAGACACAATTAATCGTCCATTCCCCAGAAAATATAAGAAAATATGGAAGTGGTGGGGAAGACGAAAATCCAGAAAATGTGAGAAAGTATGGGGAATCATGTTATTTGTGTGTCTTTATTTGTATGTCCTGGGCCCCCTTTACGAATCCCCACCGGCTCACCGCACGGTGTGGTCACCGCACCGTGTGAAGGGCCCCCGACCCGAGGAGAGCCCCTCGCCACCGCCAGCCCGGATCCGCCCCGAGGCCCCGGCCAGGCCTGGGCCCTCGGGGAGAGGCCGCGGAGGGGGGGGCGGCCTTACGGGCGCGGGGCGCCGCGCCCTCGGCACATAATGCGGGATGACGGTTCATAAAAAATGAGAGAGAACGATTAAAAGAAAACTTTTTCTGCTATTTCTGCACAACTTTCTGACTGGAGGAGAACGATCAAAAAGAATAGTTTTCCAGCCCGCGGCCGGTTTTTTTCTAATCGTCATCCCGGGCGCCGCCGCGTGAACACGACCCCCGGTCATTTATTAATCGTCATCCTCCATTACCCGCCGTGCCCAGAGGAGGACGCCAGGCGCTCGCCTCTTCGAGGGGGCCCGGGGACACCCAAAGAAAGAGACGCGAGTCTCAGTATCCCGCACCTGTTTCCAGAACTTCGGAGTTTCGTCTGCCCCCCTGGACTTCTCAAGCTTTCCCATAATCTCTGGGGAATGTGCGATTACTTGTTCTTGTCTGCTTTTTCCTCCAGTTAGGCTTACCTGCGGGCTTCTTACTTGGTTCAGAAGGTTCGTGCCTGCTAGTGTTACTTTGACCGTTGCTCGGAGGTTCCTCGGGTTCCTCGGGTTCCCCGCCCCCGGTGCCTCCTACTGCTAGCTTGCCCGTTGCCCAGAGGTTCCTCTGGTTCCTTGGGTTCCCCGCCTCCGGTGTCTCCTATTGTTACGTTGTCCGTTTCCCGGAGGTTCCTCGGGTTCCCGGGGCTCCTCGGGTTCCCCGCCCCTGGTGCCTCCTACTGTCACGTTGCCCGTTCCTCGGAGGTTCCTCGGGTTCCCCAGTCTCCTCGGATTCCCCGCCCTGATTGTTGGTCTTGTTTCCCAGCGATGCCAGGCAACGCCAAGCAACTTCAAGCAAGGCCAAGCAACACCAAACACATATCAAAGCAGCGCAAAGCAACCCCAAGCAATGCCAACCAACGCCAAGCAATGCCAAGCAACGCCAAGCAACGCCAAGCCACGCCAAGCAACGCCAAGCAGTGCCAAGTAATGCCAAGCAGTGTCAAGCAACGCCAAGCAATGCCAAACCGTTCAAAAAACGCCAAGCAATGCCAAACAACGCCAAGCAACGCCAAGCAATGGCAAGCAACGACACGCATTGCAAAACAACGCTAAGTAGTGCCACGCAACGCCAAGCAACGCCAAGCAGATCAAAGCAGCGCAAAGCAACGCCAAGCAATGCCAAGCCACGCCAAGCCACGCCAAGCCACGCCAAGCAACGCCAAGCAGTGCCAAGCAATGCCAAGCAATGTCAAACAATGCCACGAAATTGCAATCAATGCCATGTAATGCCAGGCAATACCAAGCAACACCAAGTAATGCAAATCAATGCCAAGCAGATCAATACAACGCAGATTAGGAAGCGTTCCCCTAATTGGGGTCGCGCTACGTTCATTCCCTCCTGACTCTGATCGGCCGATCCCGACCTGTCCCGAAACGGCTCAAAAAAAAACATACAGCCGGCCTTAGGATAGAAGAGCATCCTTCAAGAGCATGAGACCCTTGGCCAAAACACCCCAAACCATAAGGTCACTCGAGGCACATTCGCCCAATATGCACCACATAGTCTAACAATCGCAGAAAATATGAGGGTACCCTCCCCGAGCGGACCTCGATCCAAAACCTCGGTCCGACCGTGCGCGAAATGACACAGAGACCTTACGCCGCAGCTTACGCGGGTCGCTGGTGCGGTACGCTACGTAGGAGACAAAGGCGTCTACGCGCGACATTACGCGGCCAGCTTACCCGCCAATGTCGGCGCATTCGTTCTAGTGTTGTTGGGTCGCTCACGTGGGAACTCCCTTCGGGACTTCTCCACAGCTCCGCAGCGCAAGCGTGACGAATATGGTCCCCTATCAGGCGGTGTCGTATCCAGCGGCTCGTAGGAAATCGACGGAATCATCGCCCCAGCACTTGCGCGGTCTTCCCAACAGTCTCTCCCGGGCGCGGGCACCCCCCCACTGTCGACGTGGCCGCCCTGGCGGACGATGTCGGGGGCGAGGGCAGAGAAAAAAACGAGAGGCGGGAAGAAGACAAAGGACGGGAAAAAGTACAGTTGCGGGGACTGGGGCAGGGCGAAGGAGAAAAATATCAGAAAAGGAGAGAATTCCAGCACGAGCACGGTGCGTGAATGGACTGGAGCACCTGTGGGTGGAGAGGGGGCACGAGTTCCTCCTCCTACTCCTCTTCCTCCTCCTCCTCCTCCTCCTCCTCCATCTCCTCGTCTTCCTCATGATCCTCCCCTCCTCCTCCTCCGCCCCCTCCTCTTCTTTGAACTATTTTTGGTGCTCGTATTATTATTTTAGTATTAATATTATTTAGAAATCGTTTTATTATTAGTATCACTACTACTACTACTACTACCACCACTACTACTACTACTACGACTACTACTACGACTACTACTACTACTACTACTACTACTGCTACTACTACTACTACTACTACTACTACTACTACTACTACTACTACTACTACTACTACTACTACGACTACTACACTACTACTACTACTACTACTTACTACTACTACTACTACAACTACTACTACTACTACTACTACTACTACTACTACTACTACTACTCTACTACTACTACTACTACTACTACTACTACTACTACTACTACTACTACTACTACTACTACTACTACTACTACTACTACTACTACTACTACTACTACTACTACTACTACTACTACTACTACTACTACTACTACTACTACTACTACTACTACTATTACTACTACTACTACTACTACTACTACTACTATCATTCGATCCCTTCCTTTTCTTCCTCTTACCCTTCCTCTCATAATTCCTAATTCAACAATGCTATGTTTAGTCACGCTGTTCTGGTTATTATTCGTACCGGCAACATTGGTAGGTCCGCGAATGATAGCATTCATACTATTAATAAGATGGTGGTACTATTCGTAGCATGATTCACATCCGCCTGAATTGTTGTGCTTCGTAATGTGATTATAAACTCTCTTAGTATGACTAGGTGTACTCCTCTTGTGCTTTACTATGTTTGGCTACGGTTGTTTTTCGTATGACTCGTATCCGTAACAATGGTAGTAATACGCTTGGTCGTAGTATGAATACCCTTCGTCGTGCTATGACTATTATCCTTAATGCTATCACCATTCCTTGTTTAGTATTATGGCTATTACATGTACGAGTCTGAACCATCGTATTTTCCACATTCTGATTCATAGTCGTATAATATCTGGTTGGAATAGGTATGATTCCTGTTATCATACCTCCTTCCCCTCCGCCTCCTCCTGCTCCTCCTCCGCTTTATCCTAGGCCCGCGCTGTCATGGCCGCGCGCCCAGCCGAGCCGCCCGGCGCGGGCACCTACTCACAGGCGGGCGCTCTCGTGCCCATCTTGCGCACCCTCCCCATGGCCAGGGGCTGTCCAGCTGACGCCCGCCGCTGATGCGGGGGGCGCCTGGCTTTGAGCTCCACCCGGCGGCCCCTCCCAGCAGCATGGCAACTGGCGGAGTGCAGCGGGGACCCTGGCGGCCCCGCAGTGCACTGGGTGCTGCTCGGGAACATCCGTTCTCACCCCCTGGCGGCCCCCCCAACGCGAGGCTGGCAGATTGCAGCGCGGGGGTGGCTCCCAGCAACCCCGGCTGGGGACAGCTTCCCGCGCGGCGGGCGCTCGGCCTGGCCAGGCGGGGCCGGCCCAAGGGCCAGGGCGCTGGGGCCAGGGGGGCATGGGCACGGGGAGACCGGCCAGGGCCCAGGGCCAGCCGAGGCGGAGAAGGCTGGCCACGGCCCATCGCCAGGAAGGCCACAAGCGTCGGGGCCGAGGATACGGACAGGACGGGGCCGGGAGGGGGCCGGGGCGTCTGGACCTGTCCGCTCCAGCTTGGCCTCATTACTGCGCCTGCAGCCCCACCTCGAAGCGGCGCGCTTCCTGCGGCGAGCAGCCAGCAGCTGGGACCAGGGACTGGCCAGGCGCGGCCAAGGCTGGGGCTGTCGCCTGAGCACCCAGCCGGCTCCGTCACAGAAGCTGAGCAAGTGCGGCGCCGTCTCCTGCGACTGGCCGCAGAGGCGGGACTACTGTGCTGCGGTCCCCATCGCGTCGCAGCTGAGCGCCCCCTGGAGGCGGAGGCGGGCCCACGAGCGCACCTCTGGGAACGAGGCGCTGGCCTCGCTGTGCTGGAGGGCCGCGCGGCCCGCACTGGCCCCGCGGCACAACGACTCCCCCTGCACGGGGCTCGCAAGCCAGGCCTGCTCGCGCCGGAGCGCGGCCGCCCTCCTCGTCCCCGCCCCGTTCATGCCCCTCCTCTCCCTCTTCCCC